AAGGGAGTCTAAAAACATCCTTCAGACACATGGCAATTCCATTCTAGTCAGAGGTACTGTTGGGAAAAATATGTTACTGATTCGTATTCTCCCTGGTTACATTACGAGGTCTATCATATGGAGTTTGCACTGCTAACAATGCAAGCAAAGATCATTTTGGAGCCCATTAGCCGCACAATGATCTTAGCTGCAAAACCTTTACGAGTGGAGTGAAGCGTTTTGCGCCAAAATGTTGCGTATGTGCTCAATCCAAAAACCATCCCCATCTAGGTTCATATATTTGCAGCTCACCAAGTTTCATTGTCCACTAGAGCAATCATACCTCTGGCGGAAAGTCTGGTAGAAAAGTTCCCTAGCGTCGCTGAGACTCCGGGATGCTGAATGGGGCTCAAAAGTTTGGACTGGTACTCTCAGCTCAATTGCCCGATTACTTTAGTCCATCAGGGACACGTCATAGCCTTCGAAAATACCATTCCATCGTGCGAATACTGAGCCACGATCGTTTCACCTGAGACAGTTAAGCCAATCTGTGCTCGTTCACGCGAGCATCTGTCATCGATTCACCCGGGTGGCCATATGCGAATGGAAGTGAGCCACGATTCGCCGAAATACTAAAACAGTTGCCATGTACAGTACAACCAACACTCATGCTTTCGAAAGGTTATGGCACCATGTCCGGCGGGCACGAAAATAGGAAAAGCCACGAGCTCATCCGTGCAAAATTTATGCACTTTTGAAAACCGAAACTCACTGACCAAACTACCTTGGCTTTCTATGAATACACGCAGTGGACTTAGGTTTGTCAGTTTGTGCAGCAATGAATTGATTGCATTTGCTTTCATCAAACAGATTGTTTAAAACCGAACCCCCGAAGCAGAACCATTTCTAAGTGCTACGAGCTTTTTAAGCTAAAAGTGTATGGAGGTTGGTAGTCATACGCATCTTCCGAAAAAATAAGAGGAACAATGCATACGCACAAGTGTGTATTCCGGATTCTAGCTTTCATGCTAAGTTACAAGCTTTTCAACCGATTTAGGGATAAAGACTCATTTTCCCAACTTTAAATAGACGAAGAAAAAGGGAATGGAGAGTGAAAGGCCAAGGCATCACATGACTCTGCACAGTAGTTTGTCTCATAGATTAGTGGAAAACGAGACTACCAATGATGGTACACAAGAGTACTGTACTGAGTAAGGTCAATACCCATGTTGCAATAAGATGGAAGGAACTAACACTCTACCAGTAGTCTAACATAGGGTTATTCAGCTCCTGAGCCAGTGGCACAGGAGTCGGGGGAACGCTATCAATGGCAGGTTCTTACTTTGGGATTAATTAGCTTTATGGGAGAGAACCTCGGATGCTTTTGAACTTCCAATGGATCTTCAAAAGCATATCGTCACAGAGAACAACGGCACGTATATGTTAGATGGCCGAAAATTCATTCATGTTGTGGAAACAAGCCTTGTGTACTGGACTATCAATGTTGTACTAACAACTAAGTTTTGAAATTCTGATGACGGTGAACTAGTGGCCACGTTCTGATCATAGCGTAGCGTTAAACGGAACAGAAATTGAGATTAGCGCTACACGAGTAAAGCATCGGAATGAACTGGTAGCAGCATGGTTGAGGTCATTTTGTTCACAAAATCACTGTGAGGACCAGGTGACGAAGATAAGTAACACACTAGACCGGTTGTTCGGGGTTATGGCACCATGTCCGGCGGGCACGAAAATAGGAAAAGCCACGAGCTCATCCGTGCAAAATTTATGCACTTTTGAAAACCGAAACTCACTGACCAAACTACCTTGGCTTTCTATGAATACACGCAGTGGACTTAGGTTTGTCAGTTTGTGCAGCAATGAATTGATTGCATTTGCTTTCATCAAACAGATTGTTTAAAACCGAACCCCCGAAGCAGAACCATTTCTAAGTGCTACGAGCTTTTTAAGCTAAAAGTGTATGGAGGTTGGTAGTCATACGCATCTTCCGAAAAAATAAGAGGAACAATGCATACGCACAAGTGTGTATTCCGGATTCTAGCTTTCATGCTAAGTTACAAGCTTTTCAACCGATTTAGGGATAAAGACTCATTTTCCCAACTTTAAATAGACGAAGAAAAAGGGAATGGAGAGTGAAAGGCCAAGGCATCACATGACTCTGCACAGTAGTTTGTCTCATAGATTAGTGGAAAACGAGACTACCAATGATGGTACACAAGAGTACTGTACTGAGTAAGGTCAATACCCATGTTGCAATAAGATGGAAGGAACTAACACTCTACCAGTAGTCTAACATAGGGTTATTCAGCTCCTGAGCCAGTGGCACAGGAGTCGGGGGAACGCTATCAATGGCAGGTTCTTACTTTGGGATTAATTAGCTTTATGGGAGAGAACCTCGGATGCTTTTGAACTTCCAATGGATCTTCAAAAGCATATCGTCACAGAGAACAACGGCACGTATATGTTAGATGGCCGAAAATTCATTCATGTTGTGGAAACAAGCCTTGTGTACTGGACTATCAATGTTGTACTAACAACTAAGTTTTGAAATTCTGATGACGGTGAACTAGTGGCCACGTTCTGATCATAGCGTAGCGTTAAACGGAACAGAAATTGAGATTAGCGCTACACGAGTAAAGCATCGGAATGAACTGGTAGCAGCATGGTTGAGGTCATTTTGTTCACAAAATCACTGTGAGGACCAGGTGACGAAGATAAGTAACACACTAGACCGGTTGTTCGGGTGCTGCCAGGTGGGGCACATTCCACTACCCTCACCTATCACGTGACCCCATACCAGCTAGGTGAACACTGAACGTAGCTGAGAAAGCTAATTGCATGAGCGCAAGTGAAGTCATTCATTACGGAAGTCAGAACTGTTGCTGAAAGTACGAGTTCTATTAACTGTCTGGAGAGGATATGGTGCCACTTGTTTCATATCAGCCATACCATACCGGAAAACCACACAACATTGTTAGGCGCTCTATTCAAGCTTACCACTAAGAGACCTGTTTTGTGATAACGACCCAGGAAGGCAAAACCAGAGAAAAGTCTTGACTCAATACAAACACAGTGTGGACGCATACAAAACATAGTCGATGATGGTACGCACATTCCGCAAATTTAAGCACGAAGCATTCATTCTATCTGTCAGGCAGCTGCACCGGTGAACAGCAAATCGGTTGTGAAGGAACGCAATGAGGGGATAAGAACACGTTGATACAGATCGATAAGCATAGATGTAAGCTGCACGAAGCTAAAACTGTTCAGTGAATGACCAACTCTTGAGAAGGCAAGGAAACAAGAGTTATTATTATCAGTAATGTCCTGAATACGAGGGTGTGATGTAGTTTAAACACAGGCAAGCTCGACCATAAAGATAGTCACACCGAAACAATAAAAAGTATCACCATGATACCAGTAAATTTCGGTCAACCCGAGCGCAACACATTTAAACGATGAACAGTTGGAAGCATTTGTTATTCTTCCAAAGTGGTCCCGGTATGAATTATCCGAAATCTGTCACGGGTGTTGATCAGTTCCAGTTGACGTACAGAGATTAGTTTGGGATATATAACACATGAATAGAATAAGATGTGGGAAACCTATCAACGCCAAGCTTGCTAAGGGATACATCCAGCCCTTCGCAAAGCTTTCACAAAACCGCCAGGCTTTGAATGTAGACTGATTCGTCGCTCGGACGATGAAATGTATTCGTAAACGCACTGCGTTCATGTATGAATCTGCGGTTGCTAGATGAGTATTCATGGATGGCGTGTATCTTCCAAATTTGCCTGAAGGCTAAGGAAAAATCTGCTCCATACTCCCAAATCAGGCTTTTATAAGTAGTGAGCTACCAGCTACATGTGCTGGCATGATGCAGCACTCATTGGTGTTAAAAGTAAACATAATTAGCTAAGATACCAAAGGATACAAATGATACCTAGGAAGAACCCTGGTGATTTATTCGCGATCATAACGACCACACGGTGAGAAACAAAAAACCCGACAATTTGCGTAAAGATAAAATATATCCCGGTATGGTCAAGCTAGGCGAAAACGGTAAGCCTGTATCTATTGGAACATTAGGTCCTCGAGTACAAAGGAAGGAGCAGAATACCTAGTTTAATAGGCTTCTCATGCCTCAATGGGACAGTCCATGTAACAACAAAGACTGATTCAGCACTCTTACTTGTATCTCTGAGAAGTTGCTACGTTGTGATACGTGTCCCACTTTCAGAGTTGGACAGATGGAGGTCCTCTCAACAGTTAGTCCATCAAAGCTTCACGAGTAGATATCGTTGAGATCCAAAGGTCAGGTGGGAAGCGCAATACGTTCGCAAATGTTCACACAAACTTCTGCGTGCATGTTGTCAGGTACAGAGGAATTGATTACTAACAGTTAGACGTAGTGTAACGGTGATAATACTGATGGGGGGCATGCGAGTAATATGTTTTCTTCTTGTAGATTCGCTTTGCGTCTCTTGAAAAGGGAGATCTACTGAGGAATTCGTGGAGTCGCCTTGTAGCGCTTGCTTGAATTTGAGCAACAGTCAACGGATATCCAGGACAAGAAGACGCGTGCAAGAGAAGATGGATGTCCAGTTTTTATAAACAAGTTGCAAATGAGAGTCTTGCTCCCCTGTCCAATAGTCTGTAACCAGTCAGTTGGCATTTTCTAATAAATAACTCCGCAGTGAAAGCCCTCTGCCCTTCAGTAGTACATTGAAGGAAAGTCACATAGTCTTGGAAATAACAACTGCACGCAGTGTGATGAACTCACACAAAACCGTATCCTCACCTATTCAGGGGACAACCATTTCGAAAGCCCGGATTCATGAAGACGGTTGAATGTTGGATAATACTGTAACTTAGCAGAAGGTTCCCGCAGTGCAGTGAGTTATAGGTTAAGGTTTCCGAATCCCGACAATTTTCAACAACAGGTGACTTGTTAAACTAGTGGTTTGTACCAGCAGTGAAAAGCACGTCATGGTACTCACCTTACCCAGTCCAAGAACTAGTGCTTCCAAGTGCAGCTGAGCACTTCCAGTAAGATAAACAGGAGGCTGAACAACAGCTTCGGAGTTCCATTTCGACCGCATTGTGCCTGGTTTAACGATGAACGTCTCGCTGTTTGCTTCACAGTTTGCTGTGGTCAAGATCGGTGTGTCAACCTAGGTTGTTTGGAGAAAAATCGAACAAAAGTCGTGTCATCAATCATCTGACCGAGTTGGATGAATGGGAATGTCAGAGGAGAATAAAACATCGGGTGATGTTTGACCACGTGACTTGAAAAAATGAAAACAAATAGTACACAGGGCGCTGGAACCGAGAAGAGAGGATTGTAGCCTACTGCCAAGAGGAAGTAGGTTCAAACAGTAACACTTTGGTACGTCGTAAGTGAAATTAGAAGCACTGTTAATCACGGATGCATTATGGGTGAAGAGGTAACTAATGGAATGATATGAATCGCCTTATCAAACAGTTTCGATACAGAGTTTTTGGTATAGATTTCACATGACAAACGATTCTAGCAGGCTGTTGGAGCTGTTACCAAAAAGTTGGCGGGTGCTCTGTCTCAACCTGATGCAAAGGAAAGCATTTGCGTGCAAATTCTGGGTTCGAATCAAGAACAATAGTAACATAATCACGACTAACAAGTGAAATGCACAAAACCAAAATCGTCTGGAATTGTCGATGCAATGTATAGATCACTACACGCATGCACGTGTGAATCTAGCTACCAGTATCAAAATAGAGCAGTTCTTTAATCGTTATATCCAAGTCTGATAGGTGGGGTAGCACACGGAGGCTTTGGAACGGTCAGTTTAGTCGTTGAGATTACATTGTCAATTGACCGTCAACATTCCATTGGACAGAGGCCCTAAAACATAAAGCACCATTGTGATTGCCCAGATGGAAGTGGAACCAACTACTATCGAAGCAAATCCGAAAGAAGGCATAGGGCAACTGCAATGAGGCATATTCACATGACACATCGCGCCGCCTAATTTTAACTTTGGATGTACATAGACACGGTGACTGTGTAACCCATACATAATTTTGTTGAACTTCTAAATAGCAAGCGGGTAGTCGCCGGAGGCAATCTCAGCATGTTTACGTTCATCATTAAATCACACGTAGGCAACAAGTAAAGTGACTGACCGGTTCCAAATCAGATGAGTAACTCTGAACCTCTTGACTGTTTACTTACTAAAAGGAAGTGTCCTGATGGTCAATGGAATATTTGTTTTTAGTTTAACATGGGAAACTGGACATGCGCAAACATTACTCATTGAACAAATGATCAAAAGTTACACAATTCTGCCCGTTTCTCAGTTGGATGACATTCATTTACTAGGCTGACTAACTTTTGTTTCTATAGTCAAATTCATACCTCACGCATTGAACGAATCACAAGAGCTCATGTCGTGTTGCAACTCTGTCAAGCAGCTTGCATAATTCATCACAATTATTCCACAAAAGCCGATTTCTTGTGAATCATGATCTTTTTGAGATAGAGCATCCATTTAAGGAGAGAACAGATACAGTGAACCCCCTTTAGAAGTAATACTAACGTGACTAAAAGAAATCATTCGTTTTAAAGGGGAATGCGCCCTGAGGGGGTTTAGTCCACTTGACCACAAATTAATCTAAGCACTCAGCAACGCATTCAGGGTCATGTAACCCACTACTTGACTGTTTTTCGAATCCGGCCAATCCTGTTTCAATGGCTTTACGCTTCGCCAGTACTCTTTAATTGAGAATACTCACACAATGCGTGATATTGTTGTTTACTGTTTGATTTTTCCGATTCACGATACTCATCTTCACGCTGGCACTGTGGGAGGATACAACCATTACACTTAATTGGTTTTCTCGCCGCCGTTGTCCTCACAATGCGCGCGTGACATAAAAAGCACTCCTGTTTGATATTACACATTTCTCTTATTGACTGGAGTTCAGTATCAGTCATTCGGTTGTAGTGACTTGTGTGGGTGAACAGAGGTAACCGATAGTGAAGCTGTGTGTTTACTCGGTGCTAACACCTGAATGACGTGAATTCCAAGTTTCTTAGGAACCCACCAGTTTCTTCTGAGAGGAGGGAGGGCTATTAACATTGCTGTCCAATTCTGATCCAAACTTACTGCCAACCGGTATTGAATCGGCGCGAATCGGTCAAACTAGTTCAGACAGGGAAGTCTTATTCATTCAGCTATCGTTAATGATTCAGACCCATGGCAAACCCGAAGTTTTTTCTCATATCAGTCTGGGGAGCTGAACGAGGTTGTTTAGGTTTACTCAGATGTTGTTGGTCATGTTTAAATGACCAAAACAATTTGTCTCGTTGATAGCATACGCTGGTCGGGGTTTTTCTCCTATTAGGTGTTCATTCTGGCGGGAAATAAACATTGAAGAATGAAACCGAAGTGTTTTAAGTTTAAGTCAAAAAGTTCAATCAGCTACTACGCGAAGCGAATCGTTCTCTTGTACAAAAATTGTTTTTGAAAAGAGGGTCAAGGTATGAATGCAATAAACTACTTATAAGGTTTCTGCAAATCCTTCGACGGCGCACGACCGGTTTTGCCCTTCTTGGGGCTCATCAGGTAGGCGCAGCCCTGAGGTTTCGATCGACTAGTTCGCTCAACAACCCTCTGTGCTGATGTAATGCACTACTCATAAGGTTGCTGAAAACTCGCCAACAGCCCACGACCGGTTTCGCCCTTCTTGTGGCGAAGTCCCCGATTTTCCGTCAACCTTATGTTTTACTTGAAACCAAGTTGCACGAAATTGCGCGAAATACACTCATTTGCAAACAACTTCTCGCGCCTATCCGATGGGCCTCAACAGGGGCAAAACCGATCGTAAACTGTCGAAGAATTTTCAGCAACCTTATGAGTAGTGTATTACGTTTATACATGTATCACGATATCTCAAATATTGTACCAGCTGAAACACGAGGCGGCCTGGTGCAGCATGTTCAGCTGCTTAAAACAGCATAAACGAGAGATTCAGTTGGGTTCCACATGAGTCACCCGCAAAACCAAACTGGTGTGCAAATAAGTGTATTTCGCTAGGGCTGCGGTTTTGTTCCTCCCATCCTGGAATTCACCCCTGAGGGAATAGGTGATACGGTTTTATTGACAGAATGATGCTAAAGGACTATAGTTTGTTCAATTCTTGTAAGACAGCCAAAAACACACGACCGGTTTAGCTACATCCGAGCGAAGCGATGAATTTAGCGTTGAAGAGTTCATCGAAAATGAGAGAACGCAGATGAAAATAGTCCGGTGGCTGCTATTCAACCAAGCTCTAGTTTGGCCCCTATTCGCTTGGTAATAACCCGGTTACCGAAATCACGTGAAAAGAGAGATAAATATCCGGTTGAATTTGTCATATTCAAAGTAGTTCCGCCTGCGAGTCCGATAAAGGGAACTTCGTTCAGCATTGTCATAAACGCTTGATAAAAGTACTGTTACGAATAAGTGCAACTCGTTCAAATGTGTGGACCATCATCGTTACTTCACTTCCTCAGATAAGTTACATTTATATCAACCGAAACCGGGGGATTCATTGAACAGGAACACCACAATCCTTCTGGTAGAAACAAGTTCCATCTACGGACTGATTTATAGCGGATCTGTTTAAGCCACATCAAAAATGTCCGGATTTTAGCAGAATGCAAGATGAATCGATAAATGAACCATAGTGTTCAGTAGATTTGGTAGTAGTGTTTAGTGTAACTAACCTCAATTCCACCACCACAATAGTACATCAAGCAAACTGGGGCTGAGAACATCACAAACGAGAGATTCAGCTGGGTTCCAGGTGAGTCTCTCGAAAGAACCAAATTAGTTTGAAAATGAGTGTATATTCGCTAATTTCGTGCAGTCTGGTTTCAAGTAGAACATAAGGTTGACGGAAACCCGGGGACCGCGCCTACCTGATGAGCCCTAAGAAGGGCGAAATCGGTCGTGGGCTGTCGATGTATTTTCAGCAACCTTATGAGTAGTACATTACAAAGACAAACTAAGGCTTATTCTGTCAGTTGAAAGACGCTTAAAATGAACTGGCATATCATCGTTTCAGAGAAGTTGGGAAATCCGCAGATTGCTTTCCGATGTGTTCTGAAGCGATACGCCGGAATCAACCTGGAAGCCCGCAGATTAACAACAAGCTAACCATCAGCAGGAGATTTCCCAAAGGGGAACCGTCCATTTGAAGCGATAACTTTTGCTGAACGGATTGCTTGACTGTAGGCCTAACCACAGACACTTGATGAGTCCGAAGCAGTGTGAAACCGGTTGTGGGCTGGTAAGCGGGTGTAAGAAACCCTATGGGTAGTGCAATGCTGCATCAAGAAAACTGCCTCGATTTCTCGAAAATCCTGCCAACTAAAGCATGAGATGACCTTCGCACAGAACATTCTTTTGAAGAGAAAAGATATTCTTCAGTTAAGGATCCCGTTTACACCAAATCAATCTACTAATTGGTGTATTTCGCCAGTGGCGTACAATTCGACGTTCAATTAAAACATAAAGCTGTTGGAAACTCGGCGATTAGCCCTGATGAGCCTAAAAAGAGTAAAGCCTTACTGCATTCCAAATGATCTATCTTACCCATCGAGGGGGTTCCTTGGTTTTCAATTTCCTCTTGAAAGACAGCATGGAGGTCAAACATTCAAATATAGATATGATGGCATATCATCAAGGTTGTGTAACAATATCATCCATTTCGCAGCTGTCTACCGTTTGCGCTTGCAAACAAGTTGCAGAACAAGCGCGCAGTTTGAGGGAAACTCAAATTACACAATCCCCTTCAATCAAGACCTCGAAATAAGTCGAACGAATTCGCTCATGCTGGACAGTTAGTTAGTCGTGTTATGGAAAGAACATCCCAACATTGCGATAGCTATGTACGGCTGGGAACCACTTTGGAAATGGAATCACTACAGCGATAGCGGTTGTGATTTTCGCACATAACCGGAGCGTTCAGCGCTAGGTCACGTGTGTACAGGTTGGCGATTTTCGCAGATGTGTAGGAGAAACACATGACACATCGATGCGACAGTCATTGTACAATTATTGATTACCAGTGTGGCACCAGTGCGTCCTTGAATAAGAAGCAACACCAACCAGCATGCAGCTGATGAAATGATGCAAGTCAAGGTGAG